ATATATATATAGATATTGTATAGCGTAAAAAAAAAAAAAGGCCTTTTTAAAGGAATTTTCTACTTTTCCCCAGAAAGCTAAACACCACTACATTTGCCTCCCCCTTCAACTTCCCCACTTGAAATTCCCCAGTGACCATCTGTTTTCAGATCCTATTAAGGCAGTTCATAGCCTGCTGACGCTCCTAATATTGCTTTGGGAAAACACCTGAATATCCCTTTCCTATGTGCTTCAGGTCCTCGTTCACACCTAGGCGTATTGCATATGCGCGTCTGTCGCGCAACCGTCGCGCGTGTTTTTACCGCAATTCGCGGTAAAAAAGTCGCGCGACAAACGCGCGTTTCCGAAGGCTACTTGGCTGTATCCCAATGGAAACTCGCAACAAAACGGCCCAAAGTAGTACATGTACCTTTTCAGGCGTGGGCCGTTTTGTAGCGCGCTTTATGGACGGGCCGAAATACGCCAAGGTGGGAACGAGACCATTGAATACAATGGGATTTATATTTTTGAGCGTTTTGTAGAGCGTTCGTCGAGCGTAGAACGCGCTACAAAACGTTCAGGTGTGAACGAGGGCTTAGGGCCTGTTCACATGATATCAGGTCCTGATCAGGCGCGGATCTGCAGACTGATGCAGTGCGTTTTTGCCACATTTTTGCCGCGTTTTTGATGCGTTCAAGTAAAAAAAACAAAACAATTTTTTTTTTTGCTGGAGTGGGGCTGTTAGTATGTTAGCTGCAGTGCAGTGCGTTTTTGACGGTTTTCGGACCTGACAAAATGTGACATGCAGTATTTTTTCTGTCGTAAGCTGAATGAACTGCGCACGTGAGAACTGGAGCCCATAAAACACATAGGGATACATTGGGATGCATTTTGAGTGCAACAGCGTACTGAGGCGGTCAGCACACAAAACGGACGTCGTGTGAACAGGCCCTTATACCTGAGGCCCAGTGTAGTCATTTTATCATGTATTTTGTTTTAACAAAGCTACTTGTTTGTCAAACACAACTTTCAAACTCTTTGATTGACGGGTAGATCACAACTTACGAGTTGTCAACCACAGCTCTAAGAGGCCTATTTTTAACCAACCGAGGTGTTCCCTCCTTGCAGGACATTGCTCAAAATACTCCACACTGCACCTACATTATGTATTTTATTTATGAAATGTAAAATGTAAAGTGAAGCCTCTGAAGTCCTCTTGTGCATTTTCTACATAATGCTGTGGAAAATGCTCAATGATAGGAGTTAGAGTGGCCACATGACTTTGAGACCTCCTCTTAGCATTCCCTCCCCTCCATAGAGCCCCCAAGCAAGCAAAGGACAAAGCACATTTTTGAAGCACACAGCAGTGCTTTATGAATGCATAAATGAATGCTGATAATAGAATAGTAAAAAGAATTGGTATGTCTGCACCCAGTTAAGGGGGAAAAAAGCCAAAGCCCCGACATGAATTCGACTGAAAATCTGTGGGGTAAACTGAAGAGGGCTGTGCACAAAAGATCAAGCGATGCCCATGCACTCTGACAGATTTGGACATTTGAAGCACTTTTGCAAGGAACAGTGGGCAAAGATTCCCAAGGCAGCATGTGTCATGAGGATAGATTCCTACCCCAAAAGACTGAATGCTATTATAAAATCAAAGTTTAGTTTAAGGGTGTGCATATTTTTGCAACCAACGCTACTGTAATTTTTTATTTGTCCTTTAAAGGTTTCAGTCAGTTTTTTACCTGAATCGCACAGATTATAGGTCACATTAAAGGTGGAAATTATATA